TTTGTTTCAAACCATCACAAAAAAATTCTGTCAGAATAATCTCCAGCAGGCCCGATAAAATATTTTCTGTTGGTATGGTGGCTCTGAAATAAGCGGACTGTAAATTTCTTTTCAGCTGAAGAACTAGGGGGAGGCCTCGCCAATAAGCACGCGAAATGGGTAGAAGGCAGGCCAATGTTCACGACTGTGTGGAAGATGCTGGCCTATATCACTCACCGCCTAATATAATGGTGTACTAGGGGCAGATGAGGACTTGGACGCCTGATCAGAGAGTTTTATGCTTCTTATGTTTATGCTTCTCAGTAGCACCAGATGAGTACCAAAGTAATCAGAGAAAAACCAGGCGCTGGTCTCCAACACATCGAGATACATATGTCATTTCGAATGCGCCTACGCACAAAAAATATGGATCACATACAGCATCATCTGCTATCCAGATCATTGAGTACCGATCCGAGTGAATGAAACGTTGAGGAAAGGAAATCCTCTGCAGCTGAATAATGAATAGCCTAACAGGTTGTGGGCATGGCGCCTATACCAGTAAGCTCTTGAGGATCAACACCAAAGAGCATAACAATGAGGTGCCTGAAATTACAGAGGCCTGCGTGATTCCAGTTGTTAAAACACACCTCCGTGTGCAGAAGGTACCCATAGCTGACTTGAATTTACAATTCCAGTAATTTGAATGCCAGTTATTCATGCCCAGTTCTCTCTCCTCCCCTCTGTTCTCAACCATTGGCCGTTTTATATGCTCAGGGTTTTTTCCCTCTTCGCCCGTTTCGTTTAATTAAACTTACTCGCACAGCTATCTTCATTGTCATTGTTCATTTCAATATACACCCTGCTTCCCTATTACACTTAGTCCCACACTGTTATCGAGCGTCTTAAGCAATTACAAACTCCTTTGTTCAGTATGGGATCATCTGTCTTCTCCCCAATGTCGATATTAAAAGCGTTATCGTTACCTTTCGCCCAAAATCCACGTGATTGTTCAACCTGCACTACGTCCTAAAGTTTTATTTGATTGCCGTCTGCTCTATTCAGAATGCCGTCTTTTGTCTCCTACTTATTAAATCTCAATACATACCTCTATCCTCGTACCACTGGCCAACCTGTGAGATAATTCATTTCTATATTTTACACCCCCGACCGACGTCAAAGTTTGTGTGTTTGTGTCTTTGCCTACAGTGGTCAATTTTATGCATAATTTTTTATGCAACCTATCAGACTGACAATTTTTATCGAAATTTGTCAACCTATTCAATTCTGACTTTTTAAGACCAGGGATGTTTTCGGTTCATGTTAAGAAATAATTGCTCCAACATGCTGCGTCTCCAGAGGTCGAATGGGGCATACCAACAAATGTCAGGAGATTTATGCGTGTTGGCAATATAATACGAGTCGAATTCGCACAGTCGGGTTGATGGTATGGGACTGTGTAGCATTAAGATTGCGTAGATCTACAGGTAAGCGTAACAATTGAATCTGTGATTGTCAGGGATACAGAATGATGACAGTTTCGCTCTGAATGGTCAAGTTTCGTTCGATTTCTCCAATATTTACCATTTAGACAAAAAGCAACAAAATCAAATCCACGCATTCACTGGTTATCATAAGCTACTACTGAGTATGTCCACTATCAATAAGGTGGTGAGCGGTAGTCCCGCTGAAAACTCTTCTCAAAAGTCAGCAGCCTGAGGATTGAAAATAATCAGCATTAGAGCCATTGTCTGCGACTTTAACGGATTTGTCAGGCTAGGCTTATGCCCCAAGCACGTAGATCACTTCGCACTTTGTCGTGTGAGGTTGAGCTGCTGGTGCATGATCCTCTGGGGAATTAGCTCGAATATCTGGGCAGACTGGTGGAAATCCACTTAAAGTGTATTTCATTCCTGGCCATGTCTGTGTTTTTCCCAGTTGCGAACCGTCGAATACTAAACAGACATGAAACATCAGACGTTAATAACCGTGTCCGTCAAGACCTCAAAGGGACTATTTCTCCAACTGGCGAGGTCCTTTCTCTTCGTACTTGTGTGCTTTTTCATATTAACAACCTAATATGCCCTCATTACAAACCTCTATGTCTGCACTCAACAGAACATTAGGTTTGTTGACTTCCAGTAGGCCACATGAATGCAGAGGACGAGACTTCTATGCCTTGAGGTCGTTATAAACCACAGGACAGAGCGAGAGACCTTCGCAGGCTCACGGTTCTTTAACAGCATAAGCAGGATCGCTCCCTCCGAACCTCTAGAGGTGGAGACCTCACTTTAAATCTGGTTCTCGTGACTCTGGGAGACAATCTTCCATCGAGACATGCTTGAGTCTCTGATCACCGATCCCGAGCGTTTCGGTGGTGTTGTGAGAGGCACTATGGAAAGCTTTCACTTCTTTAGGAATGGCTATTGCGATAGCCGACTCTTTGTCCCAGTTTGCTCTTCTGCCGTTACAAACTGTCAGTAACCCTATGGCGCAATACTTTTCATTCCGTGAGCCGCTTTGATAGGATGCAGTGGTGCAACAACCATCTAAAACTTTCCATATAGCTTCTTACATTAGGCTTCCCGAGCACTTTGATGTATGAGGGTTATAGAGCTACAGTCCTGCCTGCATTCTGGACTACCTCATTGCAAGACGGGATATATTGCGCTAATTTTTCCTTTCTACACTGTTTTAACCATCTGTGTAAGTGGTCTGTTTGTACTGTATGCACTGGCACATTTTTAAGATCACAACCCATTGCCTTTTGGGTCGGTAGACAAACCGATAAGAAGCACCATGGTTGGAGGCAGCGGGCTCTCAAGCGCATGACCATAGGCCAGCTGACTATTCCGGAAATACTTGGCACAGACTGCGGATCTTTTTCGAAGAAAGTTGATGGCTGTCAGCCACTGCCATCCGCAAATCCTTATCGGAATACGGATATAAATAATACTGAAAACTATCAAAGCTCAGACGAAGTGCACACTGCAGGGTGATATTTCCCGTTCATTTCATAACTGGCAGACTCTCTTGATGTTATGATACGGTTTAGTGACCTACCTTCTTTACTATTCAAGGCCGCTAAAACCCTGTAGACTTTTCAACGGACATCTGTGTGATGATACCCGTGAAGTGGCTTCTCTCAAGTTAAATTCATAAGGTGAAATAAAATGTTTGTCTCTTTGTTGGTAAAAAGGCTTCAGAGAACATAACCTCATAACCTACATGATGGTGATTTGGTTTGTCCAAATGGTTTCAAGTTAGTTCGACAAGATCGATGCTTCCATATGAGGTGTGATGGGGCGCTGCAACATTTATCAATACAGGCTGGTCCGCTACAAACTATGTACGCTCTAGCTTCTCCAACGCAAAATTGAGAGCATTACCATTACATGTTGTCTCAAACATAAGGCAACCAACTACCTCACGCCTGACCGCTTGTTTCCTGATTTTTTAAATTTTTGCCGAAGTGTCCACTGAGCCTGTTCCTCCGATCCTAGGGAACTCTTCTTCTATATTGCTTGCAAACTTTAGTTCGTGCGACTGTAGTTTCAATGTATCTTTGGGCCCTGAAAATATAGTTGACTCTCTCACCCGTCGTGACTGCGCTATACAATAGGTTTCTGGTGTTTACAAGTGACTTTGACGCACGTGAAGTCCGTAACAGAGATTCGCTACTTGATTCTAACCAGTGTATTGCACGCATTTCGCCCAAATCGAAGCAGAGTAACGTGACACGGCTTCTGGATTCCATTCCAAGAAAGCACAGTGTAGATGCTATCCAAAGAAGATGCAAACCTTGAGAAAAAGGTTGTGATATACTTGTCGGCGAAGTTTTGCACGTCGCTGTCACTAATATCCGGGGCTATCTCAGATCCTGTCTTGATGTATGCTACCTTGCTAAAACAGTCTACGTGAGATGTGAGAAGTTACCCTCTTTTCATCTAAAGAACCCCCGGAGAGAAACTCAAAGGTTGTATGGGGCGAAATGTCACATTGGCGTTAAAAGACCTAACTGCTTGACTAAGTCCGAAATACAGCGTCCAAATGCTATGCACAACCAGAAGTTTTCTGCAGTGTAAGAACAATTCCAATGCATAGAATTTATTCGGAAGGCCGACTGATGGAGAGCAAATGAAAAAAACTTGTTTCGATGTCTTCGCGCTTGACTGGTCATATATGCATCGGTCGGCTAACTTCATTTCTTTTTTCCCTTCTTGAGGAAACCGCTGGATGAGGACGTTTGGTGCTGATTTCAGTTTCGGCATATCCAGTTAGCGGGGATAATACCGGCTTCGTAACACTAGGCACTGTTGGACTGCTCCTGATTTCTGGAACATCTTCACAATTAACTCAATAACTGGCCAGGATTCTCCTGGCGGCGAACAGTCCGAATTTTCCCAACAGTTATGGTAGCAAAGATATTCTTAGTAAATGATTTAACCAGAGATCAATTAATCCACGGTCCGGAGGGCGACTTACCTGCAGCAACTCCTCACTAAGAGTTCTCTAATGCTCTGTATCAAGTGCCCATATCAAATAGAAGCCCATAAATGATGCTGCCTGCATTAATACGAGAGGTATCTAAAGTTCATGTATAACTACTACCGTTTGGAAAATTACCCTTCCAGGGTCTGTTTCCGTGCTCTACAACAGGAATTTCCATTGGAATTGTTTCATATTACGTTTAAATGTAACGTGGTCAGCTAGAAGTGCACTGATACCGATAATCACATAGGTTATATAGCTGTGGATATTTACAGATACTCCTTTGTCGTTAGCAAAGCTGAAACTGAAGAATTTTTAGATGAGTAGACGGTTATGTTACTAAATAACCACTCGTGCATATGGACTGAAAATGTCGGCTAGTTGTAACGTGACCTTCGAACATCGCGGTTCTTTGATATTCATAGTGGAACCTATCCGTGTAGTGGGAGGTGGTGAATTTACACCGGTCTCAGGATTTTCAGCGAGTTTTAATGTGATTATGTACGCCAATGACTTGTTCCTCGTGTAGTATCAATGGATTGACCTTTACAAGGAGGAGACGGGTCTAAATTTGTTCGTAAACGAGGACCCATGAAACCACGACATACAACAAACGATTCCAGACTAGAATTTCGACTCGCCCGGGGCTTGGCAAAGCTTACTTGACCCGAAAATAAACACCGCAGTTGTGAAGCTAGTAGACCAGAGTCTCGTCCACGAAAAACTTTAGCCACAAAAGTCCCACCTAGTTCAAGAACTCTTGAACAAATTGTTACAGCAGCCAAAATAAGATGTGACTGAACATATTCATCTAAATCATGCAAACCGTAACTGAAAAAAGGATTAGAACACAGCTGAATCAATATTGGTGGAGAATATTTAAAATGACTTAAATATTCGAAACAGAAGTGAAGACTAGTGATGGTGAATTAACAAGGTATGCACAGCACAACAATAGCTGTTGCTTTTTGCACTAATGTACAAACTTGGGATAAAGTTAACACCACTACTCACAAATAACGAACCTTTCGAATAAAACAATTAACAGTAACTTACCATCTGGGGCACCATCACACACAACCAGTTGGGCTAATTTACCATCAAAGTGTTTGATGATTTGTAGAGCAGTATCTTGACTAGTGATATCACCCTGAATCTGAATAACCCCTGGTATTGGAGCCATAGCTTGCAGATCTACAGCTACAATTTTCACCTTCAAAAAGAAATATCAATCGAAAAAGTTCGAAATATAATACAGATCTCTGATCCTCTGGGGATTTAGATTCCCACAAACGCTTTGATAACACTTGTGACCAACTGCCTGGTGCGGCACATAGGTCAACTACCCGTTTCAAAGGAGTATTTTCTGGAAATAAAAGCACATGAAGCATATTAATACTAGAAGTATAGAATAAAAGCATAAGGCAAAAAATTTGAAAGATAATTCAATAACTTAAACCACGTTTATTTACTCTGAGTGATAGAATACTAAAATTACTTAGTTCGCAAAACTGACTTTTTGACGTTATTCTATGCAGAAAATAAATGCAACTTAACGACGAGGTGCAGTTACATGGACTATGTAATGACGCACCTATAGTCTTGGAGCTAGTGATACTACTTTGCTGGCCAAACTGCTGTAGACGTAGCAGGGTTCGAACATTTGAGCCACTACAGAGAAAGGTAAAATCAACGTAGAACCTCATAAAAAAGTACATCCACTTAAGTTACCACACTTCACAGTAGTATACAAAGGACAAGTAGGCAAAAATAGAGTGATATCAAAGTAGACAAAGTTGTGTAAAAGAATAAACGTTTTGAAGATAACCCACAGTGCAAGTATTCAAGTTTTAGAAGGGTGAATACATCTGCGCCATTGTGACCACTTTTCAGCCATGTCATGAAGAGTCATCAACCACTGGTTCCTTCCGCCTTGCTAACGCCAGCCTACATCAACCACATAACTAAAACCAACGGTGAGACTTCGTCAACTGGTACAAGGCGTCGCTCTCGCCACCCTGAATCATATTTCAACCTAATCTAACTTCTCCTAGCATGGCACATAGAGGTAAGAGATGGCTCGGCATGCGCAGTACATGTCCAAGTTATCTCAGTCGACTAAGGTTCACAACTTCATCAATGGACTTGCCTGTCTTGCCTAGCACCCTTCGCCTGATTATATACATTGCCCACACACAGCGATTCCATCACGAGCGAGCAATGTTACGGAGACACTTACGATCAAAACCCTGTGACTGTTATATACCTATTCTAACGGCCATGCCTCACAGCCGTACAAAACGACATAACGGACTGTGGCGTAGCACACTCGACCTTTGGTAAATAGTTAGATATCTTATCAGTCGGCACCAGAGGTGGCGCATGTTGGCAAATGCCAAGCAGGACTTCTCTATCCGAGCTGAGATTTCGTCAGCAAATAGCCTATCAAACCTGATGTAACTCCCCAAGTAAGTAAAGTGGTTGACACATTCCACCACTTCACTCACTATCATTTAACTGGGATTGATTGCAGCAGATCAGTTCTGCTGCATCATCTTACATTTCACAGGTGCAAAAAGCATTCCAAAAATACTCAGATTCCTCCTCAATCCCTTCACAAGACCCTACCATTGCGTCAGCGCCTTCATCTAACACGACAGTATCGTCTGCACATTCCAAGTTAACCACCAGATGACCTCCAGGTAGGGAGTACACCAATCCCAGTGAAGTTAGACGTACTTAAGGTTATGTCCATTAGTACGTCTATGACAAAGTCGAACAGTTTTAGTTTAGTCGCCCGGGAATCGTTCACCAACTTAAACTTACTACAACAAACACTGTGCGACGATCCAAACGCGGTGAGTAGGTATGTGTAACACAAGTCGCAGACATCTAAGCCGATCGAGGTTCACAACCTCTTCAAACGACTTTCCTCTCCTCCAAAAATTTCTACACTGACGCCGTGATACCACGACACGGTTTATGCTATGAAGGTACCAGTGATCGAAAACCTGAAGCCTCTCTATATTCTCTACCTTCAGTGACCATATCTAACAACCATATATTAGAACAGAGCGAACTGCAGCGCAGTACTCTCGACCGTTAGTAGATAGTTTGATAACACAGTTGATCGAGAAATGGTGTAAGTTTCCAGAAGTCAAGTGAGCCTTTTCTGTTTGTGTTTAGACTTCGTTTATTTACTCACCAGGGCTGATTTGACTTCCCAGGTTAAATAAGTGATCAACGAGCTCAACCATTTCAGTCCCGATTGTTAATGTCACATTTGGAAACCATTTTTATAGGATCAGTTTGCGATCGAGAAACATCCCAAACTTATTCAACTTGCCATTTAAGATGTTTAGAAGATTCTGTAAGGGTTTTCCCCTAACAGGACTATCATCTACATACACTAGATCTACCACGGACTCTCCTGTGATAAAACCAATTGCTGTCAAAATCAGACTGTTCATAGGCGCTAAAAATAAAAGTGGGGAATTCAGTATGCCGTGACAATGTTGATGACAATATGTGCACATCTAAGCGCTGCTCCCCAATAATCCATCCAAATCGACAAAAGTTTACACTGGTTTGATCTTAAATCTCGTTATTGCTTTCACGTGTATCATGTTAGTACGCACTCTTCCCAAATGCTACAACTGGCTATCAGTTAGTGTCATGGCTAAAATCGAAAACAATGGCAGCTAGTAAACTACTGTTCAATCAGTGATGGTGATGATGATCAAAGATGGTTCCCAGTGTGACTGAGAACTGCGTTACTAAATATATCATCGATAAGTTACCCCTCCATTGTCTTTGCTATGTACGGCACCTGCATTTTTATAGAATGTTCCTTTTCACCTCGGTTTAAGCAAATAAACAAATTTTCCAATACTATTTAGATTTCCGTAAACATATTTGTTTAAAGATGAATGAAGTGGGTCAGTTGAGAAGGTGTGAAACTGCATCAATTGAGGTGACTGACACATTTTGTGCATGAATACAGCCACCACCTACGTCAGTGCATCATTTTTGGCGTAGAGGTACTGGGGATAAAATGTCTACGGTTAGTCATAAGCGAAGCGTGGAAGCAATTCATGAAATCTCTGACCGATCATGAGTGCTACACTCAATTTCGATCGCTATGTTGGTCTACTTTTGAAGTAATTCAAAGTCACCTAGTTAAGATTCACAAAACAACCTGTTTTACGACTGAACACTATAAAATACTGCTCGTAACTGGTCAGATTTTTGCTTACCCTCTTCGCTGCGCCGATGCGAAATGTGACATCTTGTATGGATACACAACCTGAATGAATTATTTCCGTCATTCCCTCACACGCACTGGTCCTACAATACAGCAGTTTGACATCAACAACCGAACCCACTGACCACTTGGTCTACTGGTGAGAATCTATTTTAGCTTTAGTAAACCTATTTAAACAATTAGTATCCCATTTAACAGGACAAAAATCACTCAATAATAATCATACATGGATAATCATGCATTTACTATAAACCTAATGTAAATAATTATTCAACACTTTATCGCTGCCAAAAAAACTGCCAAGCCGAAAGAATAAAGTTTTATGAGTAGTTAGGAAATTGAATGCTCACTGGGTATCTGACTCAAAAGCATTTAATTTGTCCTAAGTTTTCTGAAGAAAGAATTTGTTCCGAATCATCGACAAATCTTATATCTACCATCTAACGCATTCCTGAGTAGATAATTCAAACTGCTGAACACTTCTCGTGTAAATTCATAGTGGTGTTATATCTCATGACGAACTACTTTAAATCATAATTATGATAAACAATACCATTGGAGCAGTTTTACTAGTAGCAACTATCGCTACACCCCAGTCCTCATTTTTTTTCTTAACTTCCCAAATGATTATTTCCTGACCTACTAAACATGGTTCCGTTAGCTGCAAATAGTCATATGAGCCAGACAGGAAAATCAACGTAAAATCTGGCGTAGAAGTTGATCAGTTCAAGTTGCAGCAATTAGTAGTAACAGGCAGTAAAGAAGTGGAAAGAAACGGTGACTTTAAGGCAGAAGATAATGCATGAAAGTTAGGAAAAATAAATGAAGATTAATAAAAACATTTAAGACTTCAAGGACGACAAGAAGAGTATACATCTGCACTACTGTGACCAATTTTTAGTTGTTTCAACAAGTCTACAACCATTGATTTGTATCCTCTCCATTACCCTAGTCAGACAGCCTATAATTCTATATGTGGTTCAGACCAACAGTCAGGATGCTTTAGTTCTGTATTTCTGGTAGTACCGCGACGCTACATATGCGCAATGCTTCAAGTTTAATCTACCATATTTCACAAGTCTTGAGAAACAGAGAAAACTGCTGCATTAGCATACTATCTTTTCGACAGGCAGTCGCACATAAGGCTAGCACTAGAGACAGTTCTAGGTTGGGAATGCTAAACAGGTTTTTTAGTGTCTACTCAGGGATTCTAGTAACATTAATGAAACAACAAAACCCTTCAACACAATTGAACAAGTAGATGTATCTAACTGTTTTACGGCGTATCCATTAACCAAGTATCAGTGCGCATCGGAGAACCACATACTTCGTAAACGTTCTGGGACTCTCAGTCGATCAAAACACCTATCAGTAAGTGTTATCACAAATGTCACCCAGAAATCTGTTGTCTAACTGTTTTATATTTACAAGCAGTAGAAAAATTATGTCAGACACCGAATATCAAATAGGAGAGTTACATTCTTGGTCAATAGTCGAAAAAACCATGCTCTTCATACACTATGGCGACCACCACTGATAATCTCATCTATTGCAATGACTTATCATCAGCCAGCAAAAGACAGCTCAAATTTGTTGCTGTCTGATAATTGTTTATAAGCCAAGTATCAGATACAAGTGTTAAACTTGTGTTAAATTGACAAATTTATTCTTAGGAACTCACCAGTGGAAGATAAAATCCCATACTCATCATCAATCTGTAAAAGTTTATACGCACTACGAGCCCTCCAGCCTTCTTCTTTAGCTAGTCTGTAATATATATCACGCTTATCGCGTGAGGATTTCCCCATGCTTGATGACTTGACTGAAAGAGATAATAGCGAGAAAAAAACATATTCTAACTTCACAAAACGGTATTCAGTTAATGCAAACGCAAGTTATTTCTAAAACAAAGGCTTAAAAACCCTTTTTGCAGACTAAATAACTGACGAGTCACTTTCGATTAAGGCATAGAACAAACTCACGAATTCTTTTCGAACACAACCAAGTACGTGAAAAAGATATAGCTTTTTAATAACAAAATAAACAGAAATCGACATGGCTCAATATTGGGATATTGCATTATTCTCATGTGGCTTAACAGGTAGTAAGGAGATTGCATCTAAGATGTGCTTACTGTTGCAACACCCCGTCCAGCCAGCATTACGACTTCACCATCGGACCCTCATCATAGTTTAAATTTATACCACTTCGCTGTTTTTCGTCTAATCACTATCCAATTGACCTTCCTAGTATACTAAGACCTCGAGGGAAAAAGCGTTCCACCAACATGGCTCATTGAGTCATTGTGATACGTAAGTCCGACCATCATGCCAGGGTAGCAGTCATCATCATCATCATTATCAACATAGGACCAGGCATTACTGCGTAACGGTCCAAGTCGCCACACCTCATATCAGTACACCAAGTAAAAAGGTAGTGAGGCGAAGGATGAAGATAAGTGAATGCAGTAAAAAGAAACGTAAAGTACGAAAAGAGAAAAACGAAGAATGAGAAAGTGGTGAGATTCGGTACAGCGTCGTTCAGATGAAGATAATGTATGTATACATCTGCGCCACTGACTTCGGTTCTGAGCCATATCACCTAGGGTCTCCAACCACTGGTTCCTCTTGTCCCGTGGACCCCAACCACCTAGTCTGCATCGTCCTACATGGCTTAAACCAACAGTCAGAGACTTCATACATTGGTGCCATGTTTTAGTCTGGCCACCTCGGGCCTTTTTCCAGCCTGGACCCACCTCAGCCAACATTGTGTGACGAGGCAATCGGTGACTAGGCATACGTAGTACGTGTCCCAACCATCTCAGTCGATGAAGGTTCACAACCTCGTCGACTGACTTACCTCTTCTCCCCAAAACTCTACACCTAACTTCTGCATTACTCACATGGTGACACCACGGAATACGTCCTATACTACGAAGGCAACGGTGGTCAAACACCTGAAGCCTTTTTGTATCCTCCACTTTCAATGGCCATGTTTCACAGCCATACAGTAGAACAGAGCGGACTGCTGTGCAGTACACGCGACCCTTAATAGACAAACGAATATCACGGCGGCGCCATAGGTGGCGCAAATTGGCAAAAGCCAATCGAGCCTTTTGTATCCGTGCAGAAATCTCATCGGCAACTAACCCACCAGGGTTGATCCTACTTCCCAGGTAAGTGAAGTGGTCAACACACTCAACCACTTCACTCTCTATTGTTAACCGCGGTACCGCTGAAGACCAGTCCTGGAGCAAAAATTTGCATTTGGGTGGTGAAAATCGCATCCCAAACATTCTCAAATTCCCACTCAAAGTGTTCAGAAGACTCTGCATCTTGTCAGCGTCTTCACCTAACAGGACTATGTCATCTGCATATTCTAGATCTAAGGAAAATTCACCTGTGATTGGGTCAACGTCTTTGTAATTAGGTGACGAGAGGGAAACCTCCATAAGAATATCTATGATAAAATTAAATAAGAATGGGGATAGTGGGCATCCTTGACGGACACCACTTGATGAGTATAGCTCCCTGGACAACTCACCATAGGCTCTAACATGCCCACAAGTGTTCGAGTAGAGAGCTTTCAATAAGGTGATGTACTTACTAGGCACGCCTTTCAGTGACAGACACTGCCATAAGACTTCTCGATCAACGGAGTCAAATGCCGCCTTCAGGTCGAGAAATACAGCTATTGTCGGGCGTCTGTAAGCATGCCTATGTTCCAGGACCTGGCGCAGTGTGAATATTTGGTCGATACATCCACGGCCAGGTCTAAAGCCTGCCTGGTTTTCTCGGGCTTGCTGTTCCCGAGCTCCACTCAGGCGTCGGAGAATTATAGAACTTAGGATCTTAGACACTATGTTTGTCAGGCTGATTCCTCTGTGGTTATCACAAGAGGACTTCTCGCCTTTCTTGAAGACTGGGATGATGAGTGACTTAGACCAGTCGGAGGGGATCGTATTTGATTCCCATATACTGGCTAACACTTCCGTTAGCCTGACTAAGAGAACTCTACCACCATTCTTGTATACCTCAGCAGGTAGTCCGTCTGGTCCTGCTGCCCTTCCCCGTTTCAGGCTACCTACCGCTTTCTCAACTTCTTCTAGTGTTGGGGGACCTGTCTCTATGTCCCATTCAGGGTCCGACTGGATAGCGGGCAGCGCAATGGTGGCTGGAGGCCAGTTAAACTGTTCCTCAAAGTGTTCTGCCCATCGTCCCAGTCGCCTTCCCTGCGAGTGAATCGCCGATCCGTCCTTCTCCGCTATAACCTCACTAACTGTTGTTGACCATTTCCCCCCAGTCTCCTTAATAAGTCTAAATAACTGTCTACTGTTACCGATCGCCGCTGCCTTTTCCATCTCTTTAGCCTTTGCTGCCCACCACTGTTCACGATCGTTGCGCAGACTTTTCGTCAGTTTATTTTTAAGTTGCGCTCGCTCTTCATTGTACTCAGAGCCTGCAGGGATGCATTCACGTGCATCCATTAGTTTGGAAGAAGCTGCTGATATCCACTGGCTCTTTTTAGCCATTATCTTGGAGTCGGCTACAGTCTCCAGTGCTGCTTTTACAGTAGACTGAAGATGGCACCAAGCTTCTTCTGGATGAGTGACAGTCTTTTGTTCCGATAACTGCCTAGCCAACTTCTCACTGAACACGGCTTTGGTGTTTTCGTTGTCCAGCAGAACTCGTAGTGGTTTTGTTGCCAAATTTTTTCTACGTCCATTGAGACGCAGGCATATACGTGCTCGGACCAACGCATGATCGCTGTCCAAACACGTACTCCAGAAGGAGCGGCAGTCTTCCACCGATCCTCTCCAGCGATGACTAATAGCAATGTGGTCTATCTGTGTCCATCGCTGAGTCGAGCTCGGTGGACGCCAGGTCAGACAGTGCCTTTCTTTATGTCTGAAATTTGTGCTGGCTAAAAATAGGCGGTTATCTGAGCATAGTTGTAATAGGCGATCACCGTTATCTGTACGTTCAGCTGGGATTCCGAAAGTGCCACCTAAGTGCCTTTCTGCCTCACTCAGTCTACCCACCTGTGCGTTGAGGTCACCTGCAACAACCACTACGTCCGAACGTTTGGCTTTCGAGAGGAGGTTAGACAGTTTATGGTAGAACTCGTCCTTCACTTCATCCGAACTACAGTCAGTGGGTGCGTAAGCAGAGATTACAAAGAGACAACGGCGAGTCTCACTATTCCTTTTAGTTCTCACTGTGCCGTTCAGCCTCATAGCGCAGAGGCGACTATCAACTGGGATCCAGTCTAGTAGTGAGTTTTCTGCCCTGGTGCTTAATGCTATACCTACACCTGCAAGACCACGAGAGCTAGCTATCGAATCTCCAGAAACTCGAAGGGTGAATTTTGCAGATTCACCAGATTGGTCAGGAGAGGTCAGGTGAATAACCACACTTGGGTCCTGTATGCGTGTCTCACAAACACAGCACACATCCATGCCCGAGTTGCTAGAGTCTTTGCCAACGAAGCCTGTTGGCCAATTTGACGGAGGGTGCGGACATTGAAGGCTCCAATATGTAATTTGGAGCGTGGTTTAAGGAGACCAGGGATGCTGTTCTGTGGACTCAGATCGTTGTCGAAGGCTGCAGAGGTAGGAGAAATTGAAGATGATGCAGCATCATTAATTAAGAGACGTGAAGGAAGATTAGAAGGTAATGATGGAGGAGGAGGATAGCAGTCAGAAGAAACTTGGGTGCTGACAGAGTTGTGAGGGCGGTTGACACTTCCCGGCTGCCCACACCGTGGAAGGCTATTTCTTCTTAAGGTACCTGAAAGAGATTTGTGTGACCGCAGAGCCCATCGGACATCTGCTTGAGGCCTGTCACACCCAGCCTTTTGAGTATGATTATTTTGAATTTTTGTATTTTTGGGGCCGGATGGTCGAAAGGAAACGACAAGTGAACCAACACCGCCGGCCCGGCAGACCGTGGGGCGTGGTGGAGTGTGTTATTTTTGGGGCCGACCTTTTCTAACCCCCCCTTCCACTGAGAAGGCAGCATCAGCTTGGCACTGCTGGTCATCCAAGGGAAACACCTTACTGCTGTCACACCCCATCCAGCTAGCAGCAGTACGACTTCGCCCTCAGACCCCCATCATAGTGTAGCAATTTACACTATGACGGTAACTGCTTTTCGTCTAACCACTACCCAACAGACCTTTCTGGTATGGTAGGACCTCGAGGGAACAAGCGTTCCACCAGCATAGCTCGTTGGGTCATTGTGATATGCAAGCCCGACCACCACGTCAAGGTAGCAGCTATCGGTCGGGCCAGGGTAGCAGCTGTCTATCAATATCCTTCTAAATAATAAGCGAAAAATTAAAAACCCTAACAGAACTTGAACAGCAACAAATGAGTTCCGACTGAAGTAATTAAAGTGGCATTCTTGCATGCATGCCAAGGAAGAGGTTATGCCGCCTTACGAGATCCAACTTCAGATCAGAACAGTTTAAGGATAGAGGCTTAGCCGCTTGTAGCCTTTCAGATGTGATCAGAGACACTAACTAAGCAAAAAATCAACCATATTTTAAAAGATGATCGCCTGACAAAGCTTCATTTTCTTGTCTGAAAAACTCGTGATCCATGCTAAATGTAGAGGTCTAGTTCTTTTTGAGGTGCATATACATTACATAATGTATGTATGAAATTAAACACGGACCGGAGCTCTTCGGAGTCTGGAATAAACAACACTATTTCCAACTGCAGCGAATAACGTCAGTAACCGGTGGGATTGAAAAAGCTTTGACGCATTTTAGCCATTGGGTGTGACCCTGAGATCGTCGGCTATGAGTGAGTTACTTGGCAATCTTTTAGGGATTTAGAAAACAGAAAGTCTTATTTTACACTACCCACTCAACATTTTTTCGAGAAAACTCGGAGCCATTTTTTTTAAAAACGGGGCAAATTGAGAGCTTATAAGAGGATATCCAGTCTGGTTTTTGCACTTTTATTACCTAGATGAGACCTTTAATTCATTTCAAATCTTGTAAAATCACGAAATTAATAGTTATATTTTGGTACTCAGGCGGATATCTCATTGAAACACTATGTAGACTCAAAGTATTGCACTTTCGATCACAACTTTAATCAAAGTTAACGTTCTGCAAGTCAGATAACCAAAACCACTGACCTTTTGTAACACTAACGACGACTAAACCGCTTCAACGTTCAACACCAACAGTGCGCGTAGAGGACACTTGTAGTTTTTGAGCTCACGCTTCTGAGGCTTAAAGCTGGGTTCTATTGGGTCGGCAATACTCCTTCGACAGTCACGGAAATCCGTATCTTTTTCCGGCTTCAAAGGTAGTGTTTTCAATTGACGGTTTTTACAAATTGTAGCTTGGTTCGTTTGGGAAGTAACTGAACTGCTAGCAATAGCAGCTGACATTTTGCAATTTCTGTTTTTCAAGCGCCTTTAAGGAAGTAAAAAGTGTTATTTAAAGTGTAATGCCAGCAATAGGGCCAGTGGAGAATCAGAAACAGTGGAGCGCAAAGCACTTGTTGAAAAACAAGTGTAACCGGTAATAACATGTTGAAGGAATGCAAGTGATTATGGGAACCTGTTCATGCTCAAATACATATCCAGCAGTCGTTTGAAGGGGTGAACTGATGTAACTGTGGCTATGTAGCGTCACACACTTCCCCAAAATCAATAGCCTAGGGTTTGACGACTTTCGACATCGATGCTGACCTTGATGGTTTAACTGGACTCGCTAAGCTGAAGGCACCCGGTCAAGCATCCTCGCCATTTGGCACACTGTCGTGTTACGTTGCACTGCTCGTGTTCGACTCTCTAGCCAGTTAGTTGGAACACATAGGTATTTTGGCATAACCATCCAAATATACTATTCCATCCGACTACGCTATCGTGTTCTTCCTTGGTCTCGTATTCGTGGGTATATAACAAGTTCGAATAATTAGTGATTGGTCTTTGCGTCTGTCAAGTTCGCACCAGGACAATTCCTAAATTGGTGAGCCCGACGCGATCAAATATTCCGACGTGATTACATATCCCGACCAATAACAAGTATTGAATTGGTGAGCCTGTTCCATTTTATATTTGTTTATTGTTTTCATTTGGATAACATTTATATATCCATTTACTACACTTTCTCATGTCCGACCACACTCCCAAGCTTATTCGTATTAGGCCGACCATGAACACTATCCAACTCGTGCCATATTGGCCAGACAATGCAGAAACATGGTTTCTGTATGCCGAGGCCGATTTTCGAGAACAGGGCGTCTCAGATCCTCAATCTCGATTTCTTGCTGTCATACGGTCACTACCGCGAGAATTAAACAGGTATGTTACAGCAAACATGTTTAATCCTGAAGTAAGTGACCCTTATGCACTTCTAAAGGCCGCACTCTTGAAGAAAAGCGATCTCACAGATCGCCAACGTCTAGACGAATTACTTCGTAACATCGAGCTAGGCAGCCACTCAGCTACTGAAGTCCTCGCACGCATGCGAGAAGTAATCGGTGCACGAACATTTGACGATGGTTTCTTCCGAGAACTATTTCTCTCGAAACTACCACAACCGGTGCAAACCGTGTTGGTGACACTGCAGTCAGTCCCACTCGACGACCTGGCAGCCTCAGCAGATAAAATACTGGAGATATCCAGCAGACCCGTCTCCAACGTATATTCTATCTGCGACAAAACAGAGCGCCAGGATTCAGAGGTGACCAAGTTGTGCAACTCTGTGAGACGGTTGCTACGATCTCGAAGTCCTAGATCACGTAGCACTTCACAGAAACGCACCTTGGCGCATCGCAGCAAGTCGAGTGGTAGCCCTAAAACGAAACCCAACAGGGTGGAAAACCCTGAATGGTGCTGGTTTCATAACACTTACGGGGATGAAGCCAGAAAATGTCGTAAACCATGCCGTTTTAAGAAGGACCCGAACTCGGGAAACGGTCACGCCGGCACGTGCTCACGGCAACCGTAGCCGGCGGAAAAAGCCGTTTGCTCTACGTCACGGATATTAAAACGAAAGTCCGCTACCTCGTCGACACCGGCGCAGAAGTTAGCGTTCTTCCAGCAACGACAAAGGAGCGTCATCTTGACCCATCCTTCAATCTTCAAGCAGCCAACGGCAAGGCAATCGCGACATTCGGGAGACGGTATGCCTACCTCAACTTAGGTTTACGCAAACCTATCCACTGGATCTTCCGCCTTGCTGACGTCTCTATGCCCATCATTGGCATAGATTTGCTAAACCATTACGATCTACTCGTAGATGCTCGCCGTCGACGACTGATAGATAACAGCACAAAGTTATCTATTGGCGGCACCACCTATGTAGGTCCGAGTTTAGCCATCGTTAGGACTAAACAATCAGGCGACGCGTCCTACCAGGCAGTTCTGGAGAAATATCCAGAGTTACAGCAACCGAAGCACACTCTTCCGTGCATAACCAGCAATGTTATGCATCACGTCACAACCACAGGTCCACCTGTGGCATCCAAAGCGCGCCGTTTAGCCCCCGATAAGCTGCAAACGGCGAAAAATGAATTCGACCACATGCTCGACCTGGGCATTATCAGACCGTCGAACAATCCTTGGGCATCGCCATTGCACATGGTTCCAAAAAGGATAGCAACGACTGGCGTCCAACCGGTGATTACCGAAGGCTCAACGCCAAAACAACTCCGGACTCCTACCCGATACATCAATACAAACCCTCGTACACTTTGCCTTTTTATATCAATTTTTATTTACCATGTAATAAAAACTAAAAAAAAACGGTGAAGATAAGCGTAAATTTTTATTTTTCGATATGTTTATATATAAATAATTCTCATTTTTACGCAACGTTTTCGTGGTATTAAAGACTTTTATTTATATTCCAGGTGCAACGAGCACTGGACGGAACGTCGAAAGGAACAGATGACCGCGACCGACGTACAATTTCATTTATTGTATTTTATTTATTTAATTGCCACGACACCCTAGAATAAGGTTCAGACAACCAGGGGCCACCTCACGCAGTGAGCCCATCGGAAGAGTTTTGCCAGTGGAGAAACCACTGGGTTTTTACTTCCGGCTGGTATCGTCTCAGGGTCCTCACGAACCCACTAGGGGGGGAGTGATCTGTAGCGTCACACACTTCCCCAAAATCAATAGCCTAGGGTTTGACGACTTTCGACATCGATGCTGACCTTGATGGTTTAACTGGACTCGCTAAGCTGAAGGCACCCGGTCAAGCATCCTCGCCATTTGGCACACTGTCGTGTTACGTTGCATTGCTCGTGTTCGACTCTCTAGCCAGTTAGTTGGAACACATAGGTATTTTGGCATAACCATCCAAATATACTATTCCATCCGACTACGCTATCGTGTTCTTCCTTGGTCTCGTATTCGTGGGTATATAACAAGTTCGAATAATTAGTGATTGGTCTTTGCGTCTGTCAAGTTCGCACCAGGACAAGTCCTAAATCTACTTCATTCCGCAGGGCGTTCCATAAGGCACACGCTGTGTGCGAAAAGAAGTTAGGTCTTGTTCTTGTCTTCGCCTTGTGGTGGGGTATGCGAGTGAGGTTCTCACAAGACTGCCGGCAATGTACCGATAAGTATGGCCTGTTAAGTTCGTCCACTCGCTTAATGATCCAGTAGTCTGTTGCTGGGTCGTCTCTTTTACTTCGACAGATTTATGTGAACAAGCTGAGTTACCTAAGGCGTTACTTTTATGTTTTTCCTGTCAGTCTGACAGCCTAGCTTGCCTCCCTTCTCCACTGTGTTCGGCAGCGCCCCAAACAAGCTGCTCAACAGTTCCGCTATCTCACTGCTATTCAAGGGTTCTCCGTTCGGTCCTATGATCGGGTCTAGACCTTTGTTCCTTGGTTTTCCTCGTGACATATACCGATATATGATGCTTTTGGGTTGTAGCTTAGTTGTTTGGAAAGGTCACTCAAGTATTGGCACAAGTCATTACGAACACCTGTATCACGCAGGTCGCCTGTCGATAGACAGCACCGTTCTTGGGGCCATGAGGTCTCCAAGATTCCATTAGTCGTCAGTCGGTAGTCTATCTTCTGGTAACAGAGGAACGCTTCTGGTTCAACTGTTGGCGCATTCGTCCTGGTTATCAAGGAAAATCTCACCACTACGTGATCGGTATCGTCTAAGGAGGGTGAGCACAGATATCGCTCACCAGAAAATCGTTGTCCGCTGGGACGCCGTCAAGCCAAGATCATTTTCTGTCTAATCCCTTCTGGGTATTCTCCCCAACTTTCCTCGTTAGTCCTACCCCATAAGTGCGTTTCGAAGTCTGTTCAAAAAGTCTATGTCTACATCCCACCTCATATTTCCTGCAAAGTAGTGGCGTTCTAAATTTTCCAGAGGGGACTGTGGTAAGATGCCCTCGAGGTGGATGCCGAATTCACGGTCAGCAATCCCGTCCTTAGCTCTCCTGTGCACTGACAGTGCCCGGATGCTGCTTCTGGTACGTAATTTATCTTTTTCACCGTGAAAAAGCACCAAAGGGAGTCTGGCAACTCGCCAATCACGTCGTCGGCCACCTCCTCAATTTTAAGTGCTTGCTGACATATATTTCCACCCATCCACCTCCGTCCTTTCGGAACAGGGTCATGAAAAGATATTTTGTGGTCCAAGATGTCCGATGAGAGCAATGTGTGCTTAACGAAAATTATGTCCTCTCATAGATGAGAGCACGTTGTTCTCACACGCAACAGTTTATTTCTAAGGCCACTTACATTGCTGTATAAATATGTGGAAAAGCCACGTTATGGGCTTGGCGCGGTAAGTTAACTTGTGTGGAGGTTAGTGTGCCGTTGCATCGGATTCTGGTTACCGGTCCCCACCAGTCTGCAAGTCTCCGACTTTCGGTTTTTCCCGGCATCCTGGTGTTTATGTGACAGAAGCGTTCATCGTTATCTCTATAGCATTAGTTCGCTAAGTGATGACTAGTGCTGTCCGTGGTGTTCTTGGGGGCTGTCTTTTACCTTCCAGTCTGGCGGACCGAAGTTTGCTTTCACATAATCGAACAACACTTCCTATTTGACCCCTTTCGCTTTACCATATCGTAAGAGATGCCTCGTAGTCAAAGCCTTCAGTTACAGACCTGTGTCGAGAGGTGGATCTTGATGGTCTGTCTACGCTGCTGACAGTTTGGTTTTCTTGTCCCATGGGTGCAGGGGATTGGCTTCAAT